CTGCAGCCAGAAGTCGGTTAACTGGCGATGTTCAGCGTGCTCCTGTGTGTCCAATGATGTGAGGTATTTGAGATTCGAGAAGTAGGTCTCCAGCTCACAATACCCTCATTCAAGAGCGATGTGTGGGAGTAGCTAGATGTAAACTTACTTTCATTTCTTTCAAGTACCTTCCAGCGGACAGAATACCGTGATATGTATCGCCACGTGGCACGTCAGACCACAGTAACCTGTGCAGTGTACACAGAGTCGTGCGATCACAACGACGACTAAGAAATAAGGTTGAATGGGACGTTGGAAGGCTGAAGATTTCCAGGCTCGACTGTGACTTGTCTGTGTGGGAAGAATGAACAGTAAGGCCAATAACATTGGTGTGTTCTGATAGTATAAAAACGGAAATATAGATGAAATTACTTTTTTGATCAGCTTTAAAGATTTTCACGCCGCATGCATCGTTATCCACCTTCATCACATGTACAGCGGCCTGTGTGTAAGTCTGTGTGTAAGCCTGTGTGTAAGTCTGCGTGTGAGTCTGTGTGTGAGTCAAAACAGTATCAGTGAATGCTTCTCCACTCACGCCGTCGGCTGACACGCCCTCAAACAAAAACATTGGGCCTGACCGGAGTGAGTGAGTGATTGAGTGAGGTGGTTTAACGCCGATCATGCTCAAACATTGGACAGGTAATCCAAATGACGAGGTTCCTAAAGCCTTGAAGTGAAGATACTAGTCAGAGCCCATGTCCCGAAGTCGACGGCGGGCGATTTTCTATCGACAGAGATCCCAGATGGACACGTGTTGCAGCCATATGTTTACCTCGTTTACATGGTTTTAAGTTTTTATTTTGTTTCATTGTACTGAAATCCGTGTTTTCGTAGAAATGGGAATGCTTTTAAAGAATGTTTTTTTATCAGTTTTTGTACACCAATATAATTTTTCCTTTTCACAAACTATTTAACTTTGTGGGGCGCTTAACGTGGCTACAACCCCACCCTCCTCCTTTAACACACATGCCGTTGCTTATGATAATGGAATAATCAATGTAGAATTATGTAACATACAACTTTTCACCTACATTCATGTTCTACATATTGAAGCTGGTATCTGTTTTAAATAAACCAGGATTTCAGACCATCCGGGTTTTTTTCCAATAGATCACATCTTGAGAGCATGTATTTGCACCCGGAAGCGTCTCGCGACATGTTGCGGCAGAGATAAGGGGCGATTATATAACATAAGACCAAGTACGAGTATCAAGCGAAATACCAGGATATGATATATAGTGCTTCAACCACACGAACGAGTTTCTGGGGGTTAAAAATAGCTATCTAAAACATGTTGTGTAATCTGTAAGAAGTCACTTAACAAATTCAATCGATTTATCACCAGTGGTTTGCGTCACTACACCGCCATGTACATGCATGCTGTATATAGTTTATTCAATGGCTGCTAGGAAAGCTGAGCTCAGGACAAGGCTTTTCTTGCTGTTTTTCGCAGATATTCCTGAAAATTAGTCAGGTTTCTTTCATGAAATGACATCATGCTGTCTCCGTTCCCGTCAATACAAAAACTGTTGTCTACGTTCCCCACAACACACAACCTGTTGTCTACGTTCCCCACAACACACATCCTGTTGTCTACGTTCCCCACAACACACATCCTGTTGTCTACGTTCCCCACAACACACAACCTGTTGTCTACGTTCCCCCAACAACACACAACCTGTTGTCTACGTTCCCCACAACACACATCCTGTTGTCTACGTTCCCCACAACACACAACCTGTTGTCTACGTTCCCCACAACACACACCTGTTGTCGTTGTCAACACGTTCCCCTTCCAACACACAACCTGTTGTCTACGTTCCCCACAACACACAACCTGTTGTCTACGTTCCCCACAACACACAACCTGTTGTCTACGTTCCCCACAACACACATCCTGTTGTCTACGTTCCCCACAACACACAACCTGTTGTCTACGTTCCCCACAACACACAACCTGTTGTCTACGTTCCCCACAACCCACAACAACACAACCTGTTGTCTACGTTCCCCACAACACACAACCTGTTGTCTACGTTACGTCTACGTTCCCCACAACACACAACCTGTTGTCTACGTTCCCCACAACACACAACCTGTTGTCTACGTTCCCCACAACACACAACCTGTTGTCTACGTTCCCCATAACACACAACCTGTTGTCTACGTTCCCCACAACACACATTTACTGCTTGCATTCTTAATGTGTAGGGGCGGTGGGGTAGCCTTGTGGTTAAAGCTTTCGCTCGTCACGCTGAAGACCCAGGTTCGATTCCCCGCATGGGTACAATAAGTGTAGCCCATTTCTAGTGTCCCCCGCCTTGATATTGCTGGAATATTGCTAAAAGCGGCGTAAAACTAAACTCACTCACTCTTAATGTTTTTGTGTGTGCTTGCGACCTTCAGTTGAAGCTGAAAACAGCACAGCAAAACTTGGTCCGAGTAGACATTTACTTGACCGATTACGATGATATACCAGATCAACTTGCTCACAACAGACTTGGTCTTATGTCATAGTCAGAATAATGTGTAGGCCTGGAGGTTAAAACCTACCTATCACGTGTTCTCCAAGCCAAGTCATTGTCTTCCATATCTTATCTTCCACCAGTTGCCTTTTTACCACGTTTTTTTCGCAATATTAGCGCATATGTTTTAAATTTACAACTGAAAACTTCGACGATGTGATTCGCCAGTAATATCACAAATAAGACATAACTGCATGTAGATCCATTTATATTCCAAACACAGGATAGTAACTTGAATCAATATTTGTGCCGTGCGCTAATTTATCTGCATCGGTATGCTGAGTAAATGTGTGAAGTTTAATGGATAACACTATTACTTTGTGAAATGTCAGCTAAATGTTAGACGAAAGGTCAAATTGATTCTGTGCGTTTGTCGATGACAATGAAAGAGTCGTAATTGTCGGGGAAAGTCCAGGAATCGAACCTTATATCAGCCTATACCCACTGTCGCGATACCAATAGGCTACCTCGAGCTGATCCAGGATTGGAATGATATATCCCACTCAGGAAACCATTGTGCCGTTGCCTGCTGGTCAGTCTGGACGCCTAGTATCATCACTGTTTGAAGGCGATTCATTAATACACATTTTCATGATAGTCTTCAGCAACTATATAATGCTTGTCTCATGAGGCGACTAACGGGATCTGGTGGACAGGCTCGCCGACTTCGTTGACACGTCACCGTATCCCAATTTTCTTATGAATATTGAAGGTTTGGTTGCCTTCATTTACGGCGCCATATAAGGAAGAACGCTGTAATATTCACACATTCATTCTCGTCTCTTACTTTTTTGTTTCATGAAAATTATTTTCCGTGACTGTCTTTTTGAAAATGAGACCCGAATCTCTTGAAACAAATTCCCTTGTCATCGTTGTACTCCAGCTGCTTCCACCGGGCGGTTTCCGATGAGATTACGTTTACGGAGCCATGAAATGCTTCTGGGTAGAATTAGAAAATATGGCCAAAGAGAAATTGTAAATTCAAGCTCAAACTTTGAAATCTTAGAAGTGAAAACTGACCACATACGGTAGGCCTCTCTGATAATTGCACAGAAACAATACTGATTATTCGATATGACTGCCATGGTAGGTCTTGTTTGTTTGTTTATGCAGATGGATGGTCACAACATTGTTTGACTCGGTTATGTATAGACCGCGGCCATGTTGCTGAAATACTGCTAGGTGCGGCGATAAACAACAAACAAGCAAGCTTGTGCTCAAAGTTCAGTAAAACCCCTGTAATGACGTATTACATGTTCCAGTTCGTAACTCTGGCAAAAACGATAAAAGTATGTAATGTATAGGAGCTTTAAGCTGCAGTGTCCCGTAATAAAGAATGAACGCCAGCTGTGTATGTTTGGGAATGTGAATCAAATGTACATCCACCTGCAAAATGTACTCAGGCAACATAGCAGATGTTTCCTTACAACTAGTTTACTATATTGTACAGAAGGCGTTTCCCTTTGAACAGTATTCCATTAATACCAGTCAAGTGGGAGAAAGTATAAATAATGCAGTTCTCAGTTCATTTTGGTGAGACCCACGGCCACGTATATGGTCCAGACAAACCCAGGAACATAATCGATGCAAAGCGGGATTCGAACCCACGATCACAACGATCTGTTGTGCCACCACGGAACTCTGCACACAGAATTGTGGCGCTTTTGACAAAGACACACACACACACACATTGCATGTAGAATATCTGTCAAAAGTATCAACATTATTCAAACGAAATTCTTATCACAAGTATACACATTATTCAAACGAAATTGAAATTATTATTGATAAATGCATGAAAACTTATTTTAATCCATTAACTGAACACTACAACCATGGGTTATTGAGGTTCACCGTGGAAAAAGGATGTACTCGTTTGTCTTACACAATTCCGAAATGGGGAAAACATGAGAATATGCAGCGAGAGCGAGCGAAACTATGTGAGAGCGAGAGAGAATGTGGCACCATTGTGCACATGTTGTTTCAGTGGCTCTAGAAGTACCTGTTGTTCCAATCTCATCACAACGTGAGCTCACCTGTCAGCCCCAGAAACTATCTGTTGGAGGGTCTAAGTGATGGGACATTTGTCAATGGAACAAGGCTTCCGAGGGAACGACGCCACCGAACCTCTTGACGGCAATAAAGCTACATCACACTCAAACTGCCAATAACTTTAAGCTGGTTTTTGTTATTATCTTGTTTTGTGAAGTTGACATAAAAAATGTTTAAATCCCAAACCCGCATTGTCTTCGCAGCGTGAAGTTTTGAGGATAAACTAGCACAACATTTAACAACATCGATCTTCGATACCACAAAACAAAAACCAACACGGCACAGAAAGCTCGCGGCGCACGTTCTTCCACGTGCCAGACCAGGTGACACACATTACTTGAGCCTCGTCTTGAAGTTGTGTATCTTTAGCGTCCAGCCATCAACATGGCGTGTAAGAGCAGTTTAAAGGTAAAAATTCTGTTGGGCTTAGCGATCGTTGTGCATATAATCAACATTGTTGTCATCTACAAACTAGGACTGATTACCCGTGTTGCGAAGACGGGTCAGCGTGGCCTAAATCTACTCGAACGAAACACATCATACCAAGATTTTGACAAAATCCGTGAAGATGTTTTCCCTAAGAATTTGTTTACTGAGGTGTCACGATTCTTCATCAATGTCACAAAATCCAATCAACTCCCAGTGGACAGACCCATTCCTGATACCCGCCCTTACGAGTGCAGAAAAGTCAATATATCCGGTGCAGCACTCCCGTCAGTGTCTGTTATAATTCCCATGCATAACGAACCGTGGTCGACTTTATTGCGAACTATTCACACCGTCATCAACAACAGTCCACCACATCTTCTGCATGAAGTCATCATCATAGACGACAAGAGTGATCTCCCATTCCTTGGTAAACCTATGACATTGTACCTCCGTCGATTCCCTAAAGTCTCGCTAATACGATCAGCACAACGCTTAGGTACAATGAAATCGCGGAATTTGGGAGCAAATATTGCTCAAGGGGAGGTTCTTGTTTATTTAGATTCTCATACCGAAGTGAATATCGGCTGGCTGGAGCCAATAGTTTGGGAAATATACAAAAACAGACAAACCGTCATTCAACCAGCAATTGATACCATTGACGCCATGACTCTCGAATACCGGAAGTATATGGAGAACATGCGCGGAGAATTCAAATGGAGCCTCGCTTTCACGTTTGCCCCGATTCCACCAAGAGCTTTGCTGGGGAGAACCAGCACTGACCCAATAATTACTCCCGCCATTGTTGGGTGTTGTTTTGCGGTGGACAGAAAATACTACTTGGATTTGGGGGGCCTTGATGAAGGAATGAAGACTTGGGGGGCAGAGGATGTGGAGTTCTCACTGCGGGTGTGGATGTGTGGTGGCAATATGAAGATCCTGGAGTGTTCTCGTGTTGGTCATATCTTCAAGTCAGGACATCCATTTGCTGTGTCGTATGATGATCTTCTCCACAATGAACAACGCATTGCAGAGCTGTGGCTTGGAGAACACAAACAGATTTTCTATGCAGTTCATGAGGGTAGAGTATCCCACTCCGCTGACATCGGCGATCTGTCTACAATCAGACAAACTCAACGCAATTTGAACTGTAATCGTTTCACGTGGTACCTTGAAAACGTCCTTCCAGAGCTTGAAGTTCCACCATTATCGTCTGTTAAATTCGGCAAAGCTGAAAATTTAGCAAGTTCCCTTTGTATCGGAATAGACAATACTTCTCCAAATTCGTTTCATTTGATTCCATGTTGGGGATATGGGTCTACTAATATAGCTCTTACGCAAAACGGATTTCTAAAGGTGAAGGACAAATGTATGGGGTCCGAGAACAGGTATATTGTAATGAAGCCGTGCAGCATCGATGACGTCAGTCAACAGTGGACCTTTACAACCAATCATCAGCTGATGTGGCATGATGGGAAAAGTTGCATGATGCACGTGAGTGACCCTGACCCCGCGACCGGTCACCGTCAGACCATTATGTTGATGCCATGTGAAGTAAAGAAGGATCATGTGAAGTTTACACAATGGACATTCACCTACAGCCTCTCGTTTCCTCACAATATGTAAATTCAAACATATATCAAATCCCTGTTTCATTAAAACTGTATATACAGGTATGGTTTCTCTAACTTCATCTCCCCCCGCCGATATATGATATTGCTGGATTATTGCTAAAAGTGGCGTAAAACTAAACTCAATCTCTCACTCTCTTGCTTCATTTACACAAGGTAGGCGGGTATGCTTTCGTAGTTACCTCGGACCTGGTTAGATTCAGTTGTCGGGTGTATTTGACACTAAGCAGTGGATTATAGGTCATCAAAGTCTCAATATTCTGATCCACCATTTTAAGGCGCATTGGGGCGGTGGGGTAGTCTAGTGGTTAAAGCGTTGGCTCGTCACGCCAAAGACCCGGGTTCGAATCCCCACATGGGTACAACGTGTGAAGCCCATTTCTGGTGTCCCCCGCCGTGATGTTGCTGGAATATTGCTAAAAGCGGCGTAAAGCCAAACTCAGTCAGTCAGTTTAAGGCGCATTAAATCGGGGACATGTACAGAACGGTTTAGATTCGGCCAAACGTTACTGTCTTGCATTTCAGATGTGGATGGCGTCAATCAGTGTTCATATTATTGGACCCACTCTGGACACGGGTTAGCAAAGGCACTCAAAGCCTATTGCTTGTTGTAACAGGCGAAACTGAGAGTGAGTGAGGTGGGTTTAACGCTGCTTGAAACAATATTCCATTGTATCAGGGCGTGCTAGCTTTATGTTGCTGGGAAGCCAGACGGCGTGCCACTATATAGAAACAACATACAAAAGGAGTCGGGACGAACTGGGATACGAACTCTTCCACATAGGTTTCTGATGTGCCATGAGACGCATTGCGACACCTTAGACCACTGGGCCACCCGTTGACACCTCTTTCATTATATTCAAGGATATTCCTGTTAGCCACGTGACAATTGTACCCATCTGCCTTCCTTTCTTTAGGTGCCCCTCTGAAGGTCATGATCACGTACGTCACGATATGGCTGAAATCACAGGGGCGTGTCACGCTAAGAAACAGCGTTAGAAAGACATATGATCTACCCTACGTCACGATATGAAGACATGAAATCACAGGGGCGTGTCAGTACTATTTATAGAAACTGGGGTAGCGTCTAGAAAGTCTATATATAGTACTAGGGTAGGGTCCCTATATGTCTTTCTAACGCTGTACTGACACGCCTGTGCTTAGAAATACGTTAGAAAGACATATAGGTACATAGACCCTACCCTAGTACTATAGTCAATGAACTTGATCACTAGTACTATAGTACTAGGGTAGGGTCTATGTACCTATATGTCTTTCTAACGCTGTTTCTTAGCGTGACACGCCCCTGTGGCTGAAATATTGCCAAAGTGACTTTAAATTAAAATTAAATTTAAACTCGCTCACTCATGATTACTTACACTATGAAACACGCTTGTTTATTCCCTCATTGTCTTGTTTGCATGGTATGAGTAAACTATTATTCATAGTAATGTTTGGTTTTCCCGCAACATAAAGCTAACAGGCCGTCAATGGCCGGATCTAGAAATATTATGATACACACTGAGTGAAATTTACTAAACGTGACATGTCGCTTGTCAACATAATGACAATGTACAACAGGTTCGATGGCGCGCAATGGACCAGGTCAATGAACTTGATCACTTGCTCCAGTTAAGTTCCCAACATGATACAAACATCCCAACACATCAGCTTCATTACGTAGGTGTATGGTAAGCGGAAAAGTGTAGAATTGCACTGGCATAGCAACATGGGTGCACGTGTGAAAACTTTCGTTTTGTTTGTTTATTCTTTAACGCCCCACTCAGCAATATTCCAGCTATATGGCGGCGGTCTCTAAATAATCGAGTCTGGACCAGATAATCCAGGGATCAACAGCATGAGCATCGATCTGTGCAACTGGGATAAGATGACGTGTCAACCAAGTCAGCGAGCCTGACCACCCAATCCCGTTAGTCGCCTCTTACGACAAGCATTGGTTACTGAAGGCCAATTCTAACCCGGATCTTTACCAATGGTGTGAGTGCTGGTGTGGACTAAAATGGCGGGTATACAGTGCTAGCCAACTGAGATGTCATCCCATGCTTTTAAGATGGGAAAGCCACGCAAACAGGGCACTCTCTCCGAGCCGACACGTCCATGGCCTATCTGGGAAACAACAAGTACATCTTTTAACGTCTTCTTTTCGGTAAGAGTGAGTGAGTGAGTTGGGTTTTACGCCGCTTTTAGCAATATTCCAGCAATATCACGGCGGGGGACACCATAAATGGGCTTCACACATTGTGCCCATGTTGGGCTTTTCGGTAAGAGGCGGTAGGGGATCGAACCACTGACCTTCCGGAACTTAGAGGTTCAATGTGGTCCTTCATGGTCCAACAATAAGGCGTTATCTCATAAATGATCGAGTCTTGAACCGGAAAATCTGGGACTGAAAGCATGACCAAGTACCCTTGCCATACAGAAGGTAGTGAGCTCTAGTAGCCACAACAGGGTGCTGGGGTCATGCATAATTATAAAGCCCGTAGGAGTGAATATGTTAATGTGTTACAGTTTAACAATTGAGAATCCAGAAGGCTTGATCAGGTTTGGAACACCCCCACCCCCACCCACACCCTTCTGAAAGTGACCAAAGGACCCTTAGGACACAAAAATAACAAAAACACCTTCTTGTTGTCGACATATTAGGGTATATTGCCCGGCTTTGTTCAGCGTGGTAGGTCATGGAAAGAATATTGTGTTCTTCAAATTGAACTACGGCGAACATTTCTTGGCGGGCATTCCTAAATCAAAGCAAGGACATTGAATTATGACTTGAGAAAGCTCCATTATCTCTAGAGTACGGACAGTGAATAGTAACAAGGCATGTTTGTATATGTGTGTATAATCAGTTCTCTCACGAAATTGGAATGTGAATGAATTTGTAGAAGAAGTCGTGATGAGACCAACCCTGGCCCACGAAGCCGGCGTGGCAGGTCCCTGCTGTTACGAGTGGTCGCCATGTTTGCTCTGCTTGAGCCGGCTTTGAGGGTTGTTCTCATGAGTTTATATGTATTTTCATCGGATGAGAGTTTACCAATACATAATTTTGTAATTTAACCCAAACATGAGACACAGATGAAGCAGAAAATGTGTAGAGTGACGTCTAAGTGTCTTGGAGTTCAGAAAACAGTCAGAAAAACTATTTTGGTTTTAAATGTTACAACACTTGGGACCTTGAGTCGGCCCCTTACATTCGGCAACAACAATCAGAAGACCGCGTCGTTTGCTACGTAATGAGCCAACTATTTCTGTTACGGTAGCGCTTCAAAACTCAAATATCACGAGAATTTAGTTGGTTAATCCTGGCTTTAATGGAAAGAGTTTATGTTAAATTCCGATAGCGTTTCTGTAGGAATTTCGCCAGCTTTGTTTATATATTGGGTCGTTAGTGAAACTGTTGGCGCATGTGCCACACAAAATGGTCATTATCAGCTCTTCACGTAATGTTTTGTCACATGTTCCGAATACTTTGTGCTTGACTAATTTTGTTCAAACACCCGCGTAAAGGAAAATTAGCATTGCATACATAGTCAAGATAATTGCCTGAAGAGTCAAAGGCGTCCATAAACTTCGGGTTTTTTCGTCCGCTACTTCCGATCATTCAGTGATATAGTAGTAGACTTGTTAATGCCTTGGCTGGCAAAGACGATGACCGGGTTCCATTCCCATGCCCCCATTTTCAGTGTCGTTAGTTTTGATATTGTTGAGGTATAAACCATTGAAACCCAACCACACTGACTGATGTAAGAGCAGCGATAAGTCAATAAAACTGCAATATGAAAGTTCAAACCACTCAGACGGCAATATGAAGATTCCGGTTTGATGTAATGAACTTCAGAGATCACTCAGACGGCAATATGAAAATTCCGGTTTGATGAAGTGAACAGTCAGAGATCACTCAGACGGCAATATGAAGATTCCGGTTTGATGAAGTGAACAGTCAGAGATCGCTCAGACGGCAATATGAAGATTCCGGTTTGATGTAATGAACATTCAGAGATCACTCAGACGGCAATATGAAGATTCCGGTTTGATGAAATGAACATTCAGAGATCACTCAGACGGCAATATGAAGATTCCGGTTTGATGAAATGAACATTCAGAGATCACTCAGACGGCAATATGAAGATTCCGGTTTGATGAAATGAACATTCAGAGATCACTCAGACGGCAATATGAAGATTCCGGTTTGATGAAATGAACATTCAGAGATCACTCAGACGGCAATATGAAGATTCCGGTTTGATGAAATGAACATTCAGAGATCACTCATACGGCAATATATGAACTTCAAAGTTGATGAAAAGAGTAAACCGTTATCACTTGGGGTTGATGAAAACAGTTCACACAGACGGCAATATGAAACTTTCGGATTGATGAAAAGGGGAAACAGGGGTAGGCCAAGACAGCAATATGGAATATAAAAGAGCAAATAGTGGCCACTCAGACAGCAATATGAAACTTTTGGAATGATAAAAAGAATAAACAGAGGCCAATCAGGCAGCAATATGAAGACTCTGGATTGATGAAAAGAGCAGCCTTGGTCACTCAAGACAGCAATATGAAACTTACGAAATAATGAACAGAGCAAACAGGTCACGCAATACCAGACTTCGTGAATGAACAGAGCAAACAGGTCACGCAATACCAGACTTCGTGAATGATGAACAGAGCAAACAGGTCACGCAATGCCAGACTTTGTGAATGATGAACAGAGCAAACAGGTCACGCAATGCCAGACTTCGTGAATGATGAACAGAGCAAACAGGTCAAGCAAATACCAGACTTCGTGAATGATGAAAAGAGCAATCGATGGTCAACAACAGGGGTCATATGAAACTTCCTGATTAATGAAGAGAGCAGCCAGATCTCGCTTAGGCAGCAAAGGGAAATTTCCTGATTGATGAAGAGAGTAGCCAGGTCTCGCTTAGGCAGCAATGGGAAACTTCCTGATTGATGAAGAGAGTAGCCAGGTCTCGCTTAGGCAGCAATGGGAAACTTCCTGATTGATAAAGAGAGCA